CACCGCAGCCTCGACCTGCTGGGCTCCGGCAATCCTTCCATCTCGGCCTTCCAAGTAGCCGGAATTACAGGCATGCGCTACTATGCCCGGCTGATTTTTTTATTTTATTGTATAGATGAGGTCTCGCTGCCCAGGCGGGTCTCGAATCTGCGGGCTCTGGCAATCTACTCACCTCAGCCTCCCAAAGGCGCGGGATTACATGCTGAGCCACCGAGCCCAGCTGGTTTTCTTTTTTTTAAATTAGTATAATATTTATTTTTAAATGATTATATATGTATCATTTTTAATTTTATAAAAGTCATAGGTTGGGTGCAGTGGCATGCATTAGTAGTTCCAGTTACTTGGGAAGCTGAGGCAAGAGGTTTGGTTGACCCTAGGAGTTCAAGACAAGAATGGGCAACATGGTGAGAACTCACCACAAAAAAATTAATGAATAAATAAACAAAAAAGTTATAAGGCAGCCCCCTTGGGCCCCCTCCTCCTCTAGCAGCTTTTCTGTCCTCTCAATAAATCCTACTTTCTTTTTTTATTTTTTTTTTGAGTTGGAGTCTCACTCTGTCGCCCAGACTGGAGTGCAGTGGCCGCTCCTGGCCACCGCAGCCTCGACCTGCTGGGCTCCGGCGAGCCTTCCACCTCAGCCTTCCAAGTAGCCGGAATTACAGGCGCGTGCTACCACGCCTGGCTCATTCTTTGATTTATTGTAGAGATGAGGTCTCACCTGTCCAGGCGGGTCTCGAACCCACAGGCTCAGGCAATTCACTCACCTCAGCCTCCCAAAGGCGGGGGATTACAGGCTGAGCCACCGAGCCCAGCTATTAAATCCTACTTTCAAAAAAAAAAAGTTATAGAGACATTGCTAACTGGCTTAACTTATAAACCAATGTAGAAGATATGAGAACATTTAGCCTATTTCAAACAAATATAAATATTGTTGACATTTTTGTGTTAAAACAGTTTTTAGGCTGGCGTGTTGGTTCACACCTATAATCCCAGCATTTTGGGAGGCCAAGCAAGGTGGGAGAATCTCTTGAGCCTAGGAGTTCAATATCAGCCTGGGCAATATAGCAAGACTTCATCTCTACAAAAAAAAAATCATAAAATAAACTGTGGTGGCATCTGTAGTCCACCACAGCTGCTCCGGAGGCTGAGAAAGGAGGATCGCCTAAGCCCAGGAGATCAAGACTGTGGTGAGCTGAGATTGTGCTACAGCACTCCAGCTCCAGCCTGGGTGACAGAGTGAGACCCTGTCTTTTAAAAAAGAAAAAAAAATTAAATCAATTTTTAAAGATTTTGGTTCATGTCAAAACTGTTTTTGTTGCCCAAACTAAAACTTTTTCTTTATATCTCACAACTAAGAAAGGTTATTTTAGAAATGTACATTCCAGTGCACGTAAAGCTGGCCGTTTTTTAGCAAGAAACAAGGGTAATTGTGTATCTGTTTCTCAAACCTCAGTGAGTTCTGGCTGGCCCTCTGGTTGCTTTGTTAGAATGAGCCTCTCTGGGAGTTGGTTCCCCATCTGAGTGAGGGATATAGCTACAAGTCACTTCCCATGAAGCTGTTTCTGGGACCTGCCACAATAGGTCAGTCTGGGGTGGGCTCGGGGAAGAACCAAGGGAGTCCCTGGAGAAAATTGTGTGGGAACAAGAAATGGGCCTTTCTGCCCCCTTGGATTCGCTTTGACTTTCTTACAGAGTGTGGTATTTATTAACTAATTCAGCATTTTACCCGTGTGTGCCTCCACAGACTAGCTTCCTTTTACGAAGTGGCCATTCCCGAAATGGAGTCTGCAATTAAGAAGAGGAGGCTTGAAGATACCAAGTGAGGCGGGACTTTCCTCAGGCTTTAGCATCCCCATCTCTAAGACAAGGGGTAGGACTAGGGACCTGCAGCTTCAGCCTTGTGTGTGTCCCTGCCTAGTCACCTCCTATCCCTTGCATTTTTTTTTTAAAGATTTAAAATAAATCTTTTAGCTGGGCTCAGTGGCTCAGCCTGTAATCCCGTATCTTGGGAGGCTGAGGTGAGTGGATTGCCTGAGCCTGTGGGTTCGAGACCCACCTGGGCAACTTGGCGAGACCTCATCTCTACAATAAATCAAAAATTAGCCGGGTGTGGTAGTGTGCGCCTGTAGTTCCAGCTACTTGGAAGGCTGAGGCGGAAGGATCGCCAGAGCCCAGCAGGTCGAGGCTGCGGTGGCTGGGAGTGGCCACTGCACTCCAGTATGGGTGACTGAGTGAGACTCCAACTCAAAAAAATTTTAAAAATTAAAAATAAAAAAATAAAATAAAATAAAATAAATCTTTTCTGGCTGATCACATTGGCTCACGCCTATAATCCCAGTGCTTTGGGAGGCCAAGGTGGGAGGATTGCTTTAGGTCAGGAGTTTGAGACCAGCCTGGGCAACATAGCAAAACCCTATCTCTATAAAAAAATTTTAAAAATTAGCTGGGCATGGTGGCACATAGTACCAGCCACTTGGGAGGCTGAAGTGGGAGGATCACTTGAGCCCATGAGTTCAAGGTTACAGTGAGCTAGTACAGTGTACTACTACATTCTAACCTGGGCAATAGAGCAAGACCTTGTCTCTAAAAAAAAAAAAAACTTAAAAAAAAAGATATGGCCAGGCTCAGTGGCTCAGCCTGTAATCCCAGCACTTTGGGAGGCAGAGGCAAGTGGATTGCCTGAGCCCACAGGTTCGAGACCAGCCTGGGCAACTTGGTGAGCCCTCATCTCTACAGTAAATCAAAAATTAGCCGGGCGTGGTAGCGTGCGCCTGTAGTTCCGGCTACTTGGAAGGCTGAGGTGGAAGGATCACTAGAACCCAGCAGGTCCACCCTGGGGTAGCCGCGAGTGTGCCACTGCACTCTAGCCTGGGCGACGGAGTGAGACTCCGACTCAAAAAAAAAAAAGATGTAAGATTTTTAAAAAATGAGTGCTCTATAAGAAATTGTGTGAAGAACTAAGGAGAAAGATTGTGATTATGACAGGCAGAGAGTTAAATGTTACCAAATAGCAAAAAAGGAGATTTGTCCCAATACTCTGCCTGTACCTAGGCAATGAAGTCCATTAACCCAATACCCCCAAAGTACTGACAGTTACAATGATGGCGGGCCTCTGCCTCTAAGCCCTCCTCTCAGCTGGTGCTCCACCTCTTGGTTCCTGGCCCACTGGTTCCTGACCCACTTGTTCCCAACCCACTGTTTGAACTGAGAAGCAGCCCTGGAGCCAACTGGCCACTCTGGGCCTGTAGCCTTTTGCCAGCTGCTCTCACTAGTGAACCATAAGGCTTTCTTCACCAGGGAGGCACCTATAACTATGGAGGAAAAACTCCCTCAGTGCTTTTTTGTCTTCCAAGTCTATTTCTTTTTTCTCTCTGGCCTTGAAAGGCTGCTAGGTGACCTGTGGCAGAGGCTCTCCCATTCCAGGAAGAAACTAATAGAGATTTTTCACATCCTTCTAAACCAGATCTGCCTCCTTCCCATCCTAGAAAGCAGGTAAGCCCTTGGAAACTGCTGCCTGGATAGACAAGCCTCCCAACAGCCCCCTCCCCAAGCCCAGCACGAGCATGTCCATCACTTCATCTCGGCCTCCTCTTCTGCTCTGGGGTCAGCTGAGCAGAGATAGGAAACCAAGAAAAATGCCTCTTCCCTCCTACGGGCCACAGACTTACAGAGCAGTAGGGCGGGCATGGAAGGAATGCAAGTCATCTTGCATTGCATGGGCTCATCTTCCCTGGTGTCCTGTTCCAGCTGTGACAACATTCAGGGCTTCATTGAAGAGTTTCTTCAAGTCTTCAGCTCCTTGCTGCAGGAGAAGAGGTGAGTGTGATGAGATGCATCCAGCAGTGGGACAGGCCCACGGCCCTCCCATCAGTCTCCATGAAGCCTTATATGATAGAGCCCCTGCCATAGGCTCACCATGGCTCTAATAAGTTTGGGCATCAGACTCAGGGAGTGGCCTGCAGCAGAACAGTGTCCCAATGGCCCCAGCCCTGTCCCTTCTGTCTGCTCTCTGCCCCACAGGTTTCTCCGGGACTATGACACACTCTTCCCTGTGGCTGAAGATATCAACTTGCTGCAGCAGGCCTCATCAGTCTTGTATCCTTCTTTTATGGCCCTATCCTAGGTCCCAGGCCTGACCAAGTCAGAGATAAGTTGCTGGGACTCTGAGAAGCAGAGAAAGGTTTAGCCCCAAAACACACAGATCAGCCAGCTGGCCAAAGAGGCCTGCCAAGGCCCCAGTCTTCCATTCTCTAGAGAAGATGACTGCTGTAATGCTCAGGGCAGGGGAGAGGTGCAGTCCTGCTTTCTCTAGGTGTTCTCTGAGCATCTGGGCCTATGTGACCAAGGGTCTCATCATCACCCTCACAGACCTCACTGCCAAAAGGGAGGAGGACAAGTAAACAGGCAGTTAGATCGTGTCATGTGGGAGGAATTCAGAGGGCAAGAAACTAGAGGAGGCACCTCACCTGGCAGAGCTCAGATAGGCCTGTTAAATAGAAGTGATGTCCAAGCTGAGAACAGCAGAAGGAATGGGAGAGCATGAATCCAAGATCTAAGGGCAAGGACAAGAGTATTTCCAGCGGACAGAGGACAGAGAGAGCAGACTTCTCTGAAGAGCCCACAGACGTGTGTAGAGTACAGGCTATGACTGTAGGGAAGGGGTCTGCCAGGAGAGGGAATTGGAATGTGACAGGTGTGCTGGCCTTGGGACACCTCTCACTAAGAAGTCGTGTGCTCTGTCCTGCAAGTGCTGGGGAGCATGGAAGGCTGCAAAGCAGGGGTGATGTACAGGTCTCTACTTTGGAAAAACTGTCTGGCACGTGGAAGAGAATGGACCATCCTGAAGCCACAGTGAGGCTTAGGAGCTGGAGTGGGGGGTATTGCTGGACGATGAGGGCTTGGACTAGAAGTGGAGTGAGAGAGGTTTAGGTGACTCTCAGATTTCTGGCTTGTGCCAAAGATAGTAGAGAGGAAGGAAGGACAGGAAGGAGCAGGCCTATAGGCTATTGTGGTAGCTGGGGTAGGTTGTCAGTCCTACTTCAGGGACACCTTGTGTCCCCCAGCCTTTGCAGAATGCCATCAGCTCGTTGGACAGGGAGCGGTGGCAGCAGTCCTATCAAGCCTACCTACTGGGTGTCAGTACAAAAAAGGAGCGACTGGCTCATCCAAATCCATTTTCCAGGACACTCCAGTGGCAGCCCTGGCCCTATCTTTACTCAGAGCTGCTTTCTACTGAATAGCAGGTGCTAGGTTGCAGAACCATTATGGCTGTAGTCTGGCCTGTTTCCCCCACACAGCCCAGGTGTCAGTGATGCCCACTGGGTGTAGCCCAGAAAGCCCCTGGCAGAAGCTGTATGGTCAGATGCTGGGGAGGGATTGAGAAATTATGCTGCCTGAGAACTGAGAAGATGGAGAAGGCTGTGGGACCCGAGAGAGAGACCCCTTAACATGGCCTTATAGGGATGAGACACGAACTGCCTACATCCTCCAGGCAGTGGAAAGTGCGTGGGAAGGGATGGACAGACGGAAAGTCACAGATGCTAAAGACCCATCGGTGACTGAGGATCTCAGTGGGGATCCCAGCAGGGTCGCAGTAACGGCAGAGCCAGTCAGTCAAGCAGCATCACATACGGAGAACTTGGAGGACGAGGTGTGTATCGGGTGGTGCTTTCCTCGCCTCTCCTGGCCCCGTTGGAGAGGTTGGGGCAGCAGGAAACCTCCCTTCTTTGTTTTTGCACTTGGGGAAAGGTTTCTTTTAGAACTGACAGCTTGAGCTGTGGTCAGCTCTGGGCTGCCCTTAGGGTCCCAAGCCGAGAGCATGCTAGATTGGGGTGAACAGAAAGCAAGTTGCTTAAGCCATCAAAGCCACAGCTTCCCCTCTATAAAATGTAGAGGTAGGCCAGGCACATTAGCTCACACTTGTAATTCCTGCACTTTGGAAGGCTGAGGCAGGAGGATTGCTTGAGCCCAGGAGTTTGGGGCCGGCCTGGACAGCATAGTGAGACCTCATTTCTATAGAAAACTTAAAAATTAGCCAGGTATGGTGGTATGCAGGGGAAAAAAGCAAAAATGAAGAGGTGAAGATTTTTCCACAGCTCTCCTCTAAACAGACAAAAGTGGGGCCTGTTTGGTTACAACTGGGAGCAGTGCCAGGTCCCACTGCATGGCCAACCCAGAAACCCCTCCGTGGGACTACAAGGCTCCCCTGAACAAATTCGGGTGCTTCAGATCTGATTCCTTCTCTTTGGACTTTTCTAGGACTGGCCAAGTCTATGGCTGTCTTGATTGGCCACTAAACCTAGGACTCTCTCCTGTAGGTTGGGAGGCAGCACAGTACCAGGATTAAGACCACCTAGACTTGGGTCAGGAAGTTTAGGAGTGCAGCTGGTTCTGCCACTTGCCAGCTATATGGCTTTAGGCACATCACGTTGAACCTTGGTTCCTCATCTGTAGAAACCTAGATGACAGATGTGGTGTACACCTCTATGAGGTTGCTGGGATTCCCAGAGCTGTTGCTTGAAACTCTCTGAACGTGGCTGACCCTCGATACTCCTCTAACAATTGCTACTGTTCTTCCTGCTAGATCCCAGATCTCATGATTCTTTTTTGTTGTTTTGTTTTCTTGGGTTTTTTTTGAGTCAGAGTCTCACTCTATCATCCAGGCTGGAGTGCAGTGGCACGCTTATGGCCACTGCAGCCTCAACCTGATGGGCTTTGGCGATCCTTCCACCTCAACCTTCCAAGTAGCTGAAACCACAGACACACGCCACCACACCCAGCTAATTTTTTAATTTATTGTAGAGATGAGATCTTACCAAGTTGCCCAGGCTGGTCTTGAACCTGTAGGCTCAGGCAGTCTTCTCGCCTCTGCCTTCCAAAGTGCTGGGGTTACAGGCATGAACCACTGCACCCAGCTGTTTTTTGGGATTTTTATTTATTTATTTATTTATTTATTTCAGAGTCAGAATCTCACTCTTGTCACCCAGGCTGGAATGTTAGCAATCACAGCTCACCACAGCCTCCACCTCTCAGGCTCAGGCCATCCTTCTGCCTCAGCCTCTCAAGTAACGGACTACAAGGCATGTGCCACCATGCCTGGCTAATTTTTTAATTTTTATTTTTGTAGAGACAAGGTCTCTATGTTGCCCAGGCTGATCTTGAACTCCCAGGCTCAAGGCCCCATGGTCAGGAGGGGCAGAGTCAGAACTCAAACCAGGTCCGTTGGCACTGAGTCCAGTGCTGTCAGGGGCCTATTGCCACATCACCGGCCCTGCTCAACCTTCTCCTTCACTCTGTTCTTACTTCAGTGCATGGGGGCAGCAGCTGCCCCAGGCCCCGTCATTTGTGGTGTGGAGCTGGACTCACTCATCTCCCAAGTGAAGGACCTGCTTCCAGACCTTGGGGAGGGTTTCATCCTGGCCTGCTTGGAGCACTACCACTACGACCCAGAACAGGTGATCAACAACATCCTGGAGGAGCGGCTGGCCCCTACCCTCAACCAGCTGGACCAAAATCTAGACAGGTGGGAGAAACACCTGGAGGGAGGCTTCTGGTGCCTGGGCTGCCTGTGGGGGATGGTGGGGGGAAGGGGGAGGCTTTCCTCTGCATCTCACTCTTCCTGCTCTCGTGGCCCAGGATTCAGCTTGCTCTCTCTTCCCCACAGTGGTGTTTCCCAGCCATTTAAACGAATGTCCTCTTTGAGGAAACAAAACCTTTAGGCCCCACTCAGGAGGTTCTCACTTGTCTCATGCAGGGCAGAGCATGCACAGCTAACATCCCTGCTGCATTTGTGGGAAGACTGATTAGAGACACAGATGTGACAGAGGGTTGTTATGCCTTCAGAGCTCCTCAGTTCCTGACCTGCCATTGTCATGACCACCTTCCCAGTAGATTCTTAAGAAAGGGCAGCCGAAACCTCTCAGTCCTTCAAACCTACCCTTTTTGAGTTCGGTCCACTGCTGCCCAAAGGCCCCACAGGAGAGCAGGAACCAGTGCACAAAGAGGTGTTTCTTCCATGAACAAATAATGTTTACCAAATGAGTGAGTGATGATAACTTTGTGTCCCACTTTACAGATGAGGGCACTGAGGCACAACAAAGTTGAGTGATCTATGACTACCTGTCTCATAGGGCTACTGTGAGCATTAAATGAGGGATAGAAGCCGGGCTCGGTGGCTCAGCCTGTAATCCCACGCCTTGGGAGGCTGAGGTGAGTGAATTGCCTGAGCTCGCGGGTTCAAGACCCGCCTGGGCAACTTGATGAGACCTCATCTCTACAATAAATCAAAAAATTAGCCGGGCGTGGTAGCACACACCTGTAGTTCCATCTACTTGGAAGGCTGAGGCGGAAGGATCACTGGAGCCCAGCAGGTTGAGGCTACGGTGGCCGGGAGCGGCCACTGCACTTCAGTCTGGATGACAGAGTGAGATTCCAACTCAAAAAAAAATTGAAATTACAATAACAAACAAATAAATAAATGAGGCATAGAGCTTTTAAGAAATAAAACCTACGTGGGTGGCACACAGGGAACAATGGGGAGCTTCATTTGAGGTGTGGCTGCATATCCAGGCAGGTACCAGGTAGTGTGAGGTCTTTTCTCCCCCTTAAAGGTTTTTAGATTGTGTCCTAGGTGGGGCTGGTGAAGGGATTGGAAATTGGAAGGGTATAACATGGCAGGGGGAAGTGGGGAATAGGTAGGTACCAGCTGGCGGGGCCCCCTCAATTGATTTCTGTGTCCCTCCCAGACAGATGAAACCAGACCCAACGCCCCTGCTGACATCTCGTCACAACGTCTTCCAGAATGACAAGTTTGACGTGTTCAGCAGGGACTCAGTGGACCTGAGCCAGGTGCATAAGGGCAAGAGGTGAGTGTGGTGGGCTGCAGAGTTCTAGGCGCCCTGACTCTGGAAGTGTGGAGAGAAAGCAAGAGAAACCAAAGGCTCCATCTTTACAAAGCTGACCTCAGTTTCAGCTCAGAGATCCCTTCACAGCCCTGGACCTATGCACTCCCCGTAGGTAGGAACAGGCTTATCAATGATTACGCTTCAGGCTCCAACTCCATGCAGGAGGTTGTAGTGAATGAATCTTCCTTGTTGATAGCAAAAGGCCAAAAGAGTCCAAATGGTCCCCTGCTTACCTGATTACATTTTTTAATGTGTTGACTATCAAGTCTCTGTGTTGTGGATCTGGACTGGGCTTCCCAGAAGCCCTTCTTTGTCCTGATTTTTTCCCAGGTTATGACAAAATGAGAAAATTAAGGACTTGTACTAAGTGAGATTTTCAGTAGGTAAACATATTCCATTTTAAGGCCTTTCTATTTATTTTTAGTTTGTGTCCTTCCTACTTTTTTGGCATTGAAATGTCCATTTAAGATTTATTCATTCATTCAACAAATATTTGTCTGGTACTTACAGCATTCTAGGCTCTGGATTAATTAAGTTCTGGGGACATAGTGGGGAGTGAAACAGACACGGCCCCTGCCCACGTGGAGTCTGTGTTAATCAGCTTATCAAACAAGCAACATCAAATTACAGATATAACAAGGACTGCAGAGTGGAGGTACACAAACTTCTGAGCCTATGGCTGAGGCTTCATCCCAGGCAGGAGTCTCCTCTGAGAAGATGATGTGGGACCGAGAGCTGAAGGATGAGGAGGGGTCAGCTCTGCAAAGGAGGGAAGAAGAAGTTTTCCAAGGAGAGTGAATAACAGGGGCAGGGGCCCCAAGGCTGTTGTGAGCATGGCGAGGGTCCCACAAGCTGACACATTTTATGTTTTGAAAAGATCACCCAGCTTTGGGACAAGAGTCAACAGTGATGGGAGAGAGTACAACATCCAAGTGGAGAACAGCAAAATAAAATGTTGACACTGGTAGTCCCCCAAAGGTCTGCAGTGGTGTTGACTCATTGAAAACAGAAATCAGGGGCCCACTGGACAAGTGAAGCCTGCCTTTTCACTATCATATAGATGGAGACGATGAGGTTCAGAGTGGGAGAAAACCAACCTTGTTTTCATGTAGGAGCACCAGTGGCAGAAATGCCGGCTGCTTCTTCAGTTAGAGCCCCATCCTATTCCCCCTCCCTGGGGCTACCCAGTGCTGGAAGCTTGGCTGGCCAAGGGCTTAGGAAGTGGGCGCAGGGCAGCCATAAAGTCATCTGGCTGGCTGGTCAGGAAGTACTTGCAAACTGCTTAGTCACACACATTGCGACATCCCCAGATCCCAGACTAGAGATGTTATCCTGCATCATTGCGACATCCCAGATCTCAGGCCAGAGATGTTATCCTGGATCAGTGGCCACTATTCCAGGCCAGCACGACCCTCTGCAACTCCAGCTGTTGGAAAGGAGAAGACAAGAGTTCCCCCTGGCCGGTAGAGGGCTGGCCCCCTGCTCCAACCCAAGGAGCCTGATTGGTAGGTCCCCACAGAGCTTAGGCATCTCTGGACAATGGCCTTTCCCCTTGACCTTAATCTATGGGTTTGCCCAGGGCACGTGGTATTGTAAAGTCCCATCTAACCCTACCTGGGTCATAAGTCACTCACAAGCATTTGCCACGGGGCTGGTCCCAGCTGTCAGGGTCAGTAGAAGGACTGACACTGAGGCAGCCAAGTTTCCGAAAATGCTGTGCTCCCGGGGCCCTCCAGGCTGCCAGACAGAGAGACTCATTATGCTGGATAGCCTAGGGGCTGAGGATTGCAAAGAGGCAGAGCATCCATTCATGTGTTATTTATTTATTTATTCATTCAACAAATATTTATTAAGTGATTTACTAGTGCCAGATCCTATGCTAGACACCAGGAAGACAAGGTGAGCTGGGTGCCCATGTCTTGCCCTTAAATGGCACAGAGACCGTGGGAAAGACTTAGACCGTTAAAATAAGTAATGACAGAGTGGGAAGGTGCTGGGGTGGGCTACACAGAGATTTCAGCAGAGACACCTGTCCTAATTTGTGCAGGGTGGAGATCCTTAGAGCCCTACCTTCGGGGGAGCATGTGAGAAATTAAGTAACACCAAGGAGATCACATCTGAGTTTAAATGCATGTGTGTTGTTTAATTAAGTAGGATACACTCAGGGCCTTAAGTAGTAAGGAAATCTGTCCCCTGCGTTACAAGGGGCTACAAGTGAGGGCAGGCTAGGCTAGGTTAACCTGTGGTTTCTGTCTCTTGGGCCTGCTTATGGTCATGCTAGTTCCCTTGAGGCTTCAGGGAGTCAAGATGTTTTGGCTGTGGCTTCCAGAAGCAACAGTGCTGGGAGGAAGTCCAGACCAGGTGTCCCTGTGTCTCTCCAGGAGGCTAGGAAATCTTTCCCAGAAGTTCCCTTCATATCTCATCAGGAGGACTGAGTAACAGGGTGGAGGCCTGGTGCTCCAGTATGGAAGGGAAAGGTGGAAAGACTTGAAGAGAATGAAGGGAGCATGGTTAAAATGGAACATAACTGTTGGGCAGATGCCAAGCACATGTGCTACATGTCAAGGCTAGTGAAGGAGGCAGGTTGTAGAAGGAAGGGTCCCCTGATGTTGTGGGACTGTTCCATAGTGCCTTGGAAGATAGCAAGTGTTCTCCCTCAAAAAAAGTTCTATTGCCAAAAATGTCTGTGCATTCTGTCTTTTGAGGCGTCGCAGAGATACTAATGGCTCTGACAAGTCCTGCAGTAAAACAGGATTTACTTTGTTGAGCTCAGCAAGTGCTGGGCCTACTTCTCCATATCATTTTATTTATTTCTCATATCAGCCCTAGGAAATAGGTCCTGGGAGGAAGGAAATGAGACTTAGCAAGGATAAGGGACTTGCCTGTGGTCACACAACCAAGGAAGTAGCAGAGCAGACCTGAGTCAGGAGACCTGGCCCTGGCTTCACTGTTAGAAGCTGTGTGACTTTGAGAAGGTTGCTCTGCCTCTCTGGATCCCCGGATTCCTCACCTAGAAAAGGGAGTGGCGAGGGGGGCAGGGGGAATTATTTGTTTGTTTTTACCTCTGCAGGCCCTTTAGAAGCTCAGAGACAAGAGTCAGCCTCTCAGGCAGTTTGAATGGGCCTTGAAGGACAGGCTTGAGGAGATGAGGAAGGGAAAGGTGGCCAGGTGTCGGGGAGCCTGCATTTCCTGGGCTTGCTGTCCTCTTGTAGGAGGCTGAAGAAGCTGCCTGCCCCAAAGACAGTCTCTGAAACCACTGTTGCCTGGTTTTCCAGACTTGACTGAAGTCACGGCCCTCTGACATCTTCTGGCTGCTTTTGCTCCTGATTTTTCTTTTCCTTCCTGACTCCAAATGAGGTCATGGGGCTAAAACTGCACCTCCCTAGACTGACAGCCTAGGCACCAGACTTCCCTATCCCTACCTGTGTTCTCTACCAGGCATACCTGGGGTGGGTGGAGTTTGCCAGGCAGCTATGTAGCCAGAGGCCACACAGCATAAAAGAACTGCCTCAATTGCCAGACCAGGGATGGATAGTCCAAGAGCCGAAGGTATGGCAGAAAGGATAGTGATACTGCTCATTCATTCGTGGTTCCCTGGCCCAGCACAGATCCTGACACCTAGTAGGTCCTTAGGAAATGCATGTTCAATGCATGGATGTGCTCTTACCAGGGGCACCAAGCACCCAGACAAGTTGAACTCTTTTCACTTCCTCTCTACATCTTTTCCAACCAGTCAGAAAGCCAGGTACAGGGCCAGGGCCACAGTCACAGGCCTCTTCCCAGGTGGCTGTGAAAGATTCCTGTGGACTGAGATTTCTCCCTGGTTCACATCACATGCACCCTACTTTCTACCACACCTGGGACTCCTGGTCCAATCAAATAACTCCCTACCATGGAGCCTCCATTACCCCTTTCTGCAGCTCCCAAGTAGACCTCCTGAGCCAGAGTCCATTTCTGTGGTGTTTCCAGGGCAGACATGTCTCCAATTTAACACATTACATGATAGCTGTCATCTACCTGTCTGTCACCCCCCAACACACTGTGAGTTCATAAGGGCAGATCCATATTTTATTCATTTCCGAATCTCTCCCCATCCGGGTCTCATATCCTGCCTTGCATGAAGTAAAGGCTGTTGAAGGGAGGCAAACCCTAGCCCGCCACACTGGAGGCTGCAGTCCTGACCTGCCCCGGCCTCCAGGCAGACAGCCCAGCAGACTTAGACAGACTCAGACGCCTGCCCCTCCCTCCACCAAAAGCCAGTTAATAGAAGATTTTTATGGAAGCTGTGTTCGGCTTTGTGTCTCTTCTTTTTTTTTCCCTACCCTTGATACATTCCAGAGACCCGATTTCACAGCTAAGCTGGATTTTCTTGCCTGGCATCGCATATTGATTTTCCCCTGCAGGGCTAGAAGCTACATTCCACAGGCCTGTGTATGTGTCTGACAAGCCAGGTTTTTTTACAGGTTTGCAAAGCCATGAGTCGAGAGGCCTGAGTTCCCCCTGCCGAGGCTGCACTGAAGCTCACTGTGACCCCAAGCAAGTTATTTTTCCTCCCTCCACTGCACCCGAGTTTCCTCACCTGTGACATGATGGGAGTTGAACTTGCAAACTTTTTCTTCCAGTGAAATGTTACATGGAAGCTTGAACCGTGAAACAGATAGGCGGCCACTTGTGGTTACATGGGGTGAAAGGAATAGGACAGGGCCCCTCCACCTCTCACCCCAGAGGTCTCTAGGACTTCCCTGAGCTCAGCAAGAAGGCCACATGTGGCCTTGCTCTTTCTTTTTTTTTTTTTTTTCTGAGTTAGAGTCTCACTCAATCTCCCAGACTGGAGTGCAGTGGCCACTCCCGGCCACCGCAACCTCGACCTGCGGGGCTCCGGCGATCCTTCCGCCTCAGCCTTCCGAGTAGCTGGAACTACAGGCACGCGCTACAACGCCCAGCTAATTTTTGATTTATTGTAGAGATGAGGTCTCGCCAAGTTTCCCAGGTGGGTCTCGAACCCGCGGGATCGGGCAATTCACTCACCTCGGCCTCCCAAAGTGCGGGATTACAGACTGAGCCACCGAGCCTGGCCATGCTCTTTCTTAAATGTGTGTTTGTTTTAGAAGATTCAGACAAGCCCAGGCCCCTCTGAGGAGTAGCCATTTTCATTCAGTGTGGGATTCACCAGCCCTGTCTGCACATTTACCCACACTGATGTGTGGCCCATAGAAACAAAAGTTGATTTGGTTTGCTTTGGGGATCATACTGTGTGCATTTTTCTGTAGTTTGCTTTCCTTCTTGGGAATAAATCTTAAAATTCTTTCTCTGTCAGCACAAATAGATCAACGTCATTCTTGAGATCTGTATGCAGCGATCTGTAATACAGATGTGACACAGTTCATTTGGCCACTTCACTCCTGGTAGACGTTAATTGCTTTCCATTTTTCACTGTTACAAGCAATACTGAAAAGAAAATCTCTATCAGACCTCTGTGCACACACAGCCATTATTCCTCTGGGGTAGATGCCTCTGAGCAAGGGAGTTTCCTAGTCAAAAGATGTGCACATTTCACTTTTTTTTTTTTTGAGTTGGAGTCTCACTCTGTCACCCAGGCTGGAGTGCAGTGGCATACTCATGGCCACCCCAGCATCCACCTGCTGGGCTCCAGCGATCCTTCTGCCTCAGCGTTCCAAGTAGCCAGAACTACAGGTGCGCACTACCATGCCTGGATAATTGCTAATCTATTGTAGAGACGCAGTCTCTCCAAGTTGCCCAGGCTGATCTCGAACCTGGGGGCTCAGGCAATCCCCTCACCTCAGCCTCCCAAAGTGCTGGGATCACAGGCTGAGCCACCAAGCCTGACTGTGCACATTTCACATTTTAACAGCAGCTCCCAGGATGCCCTCCAAAGTGGCTGGGTCTGTCCCCATGGTCTCGGGGTCAATCCAAGGGATGGAGAAGTAAGCCCACAGTCTGTCCGGGCCCTCCACACCCTGCAGCCTTCCAGGTCTGATGGGTTTTTCCTTTCTCTCGGCACCAGGAAAGAGGAGAACACACGGAGCCTGCTGAATGACAAGCGAATGGTGGCAGCGCAGCGACAGCGCTACGAGCAGTACAGTGTGGTGGTGGAGGAGGTAGGTCGGCCAAGGCCGGGCCTCTGCTGGGCAGGGGAGACCAGATGGTCCCAAGCCCCTCCGACAAGTGCTTCCACCATTGCAGGTGCCGCTACAGTCAGGTGAGAGCTTGCCCTACCATGGTGATGACTACGAGGATGAGTACGATGACACGTACGATGGCAACCAGGTGGGCGCCAACGATGCAGACTCTGATGATGAGCTCATCAGCCGCAGGTGAGGCAGAGGGTGGGCACATTCCTGGGCAGAGCAGCTCTCAGGCCTGTGGGGCTTCCACACCCCTTGTTTATACAGATGAGGAAGCCAAGGCCCTGATTACCTGAGCATGTCAGTGGCAGAACCAGGGCCAAACCCAGGCCTCCTGACTTCTAGTCCAGTGTTCTTCCACCCCAGCGCACCCTGAGTGGGACAGCATTTACTTGGTCTCACACAGTAGTTTTACATTTTTCTTCCTTTTTTTTTAAGCCAGTCAAATTCAGCAGTGGAGGGTTGGATACATTTTTCTTTTTAATTGCAGAAAACTTTTCCTAGTGGGATATTTTGGACATTCCTCAACACAGATCAAAGCAGAACTGCCCTGACTAAAAGGAGGAGTGGGGACCCCAGGGCCCTAGCTCAACCTCCCCCTCAACCCCTCATCAGTCCCTGGTTCCCCCAAAGCATCCAGGGCCTAGAGCAAAGCTGTTACAAAGCACTTTGGTTTTTCCCAGCCTCCTAAGCCTGTCACCCAACCAGGTTCCCTCCTCCTTGTGGCTCTCCATGTTGAACCTAGTGTCTGATCTCACTTTCTCTCTAAACCCTCAGGCCCTTCACGATCCCTCAGGTGCTGAGAACCAAAGTGCCCAGAGAAGGGCAGGAGGAAGATGATGAGGAAGAGGAGGAGGAGCCTGAAGACGAGGCCCCCAAGGTACCTCCATGGCCGGCGGCTGGTGAAGGGGGAGTGCAGTTCTGAAGGGTAAATTGGTAGCACTAGCCCCCCGCCCCTCCTTGCAGCTGGCCCTGAGGCAGCCCCGGCATTACTACTTTGGACAAAAGGGGTCCCTTCGAGCCCAGGATGTCTGCTTAGAGAGCTGCTGGCTTAGAACTTGCCTCTGCTGCCCAGTGAGGTCCCAGGGAACAGATTCGAGACCAGGCCTTTGAGCTGCCAGGTTCATTATTCGGCCCAGGAGCCTCGAGGCTGGGAGAAGGGCAGCTGTTGGCTGTTGAGCCCAGGATGGCAGTTCTTAAAATCGGAGTTAGGGCCCAAGGACCCTGGGAAGTCACCTGGACTGGTAGATTTGAATTTTGTAGCAGCTAAACATTTTCTTCAAATGAAATCTTAACTAAAATCTCAACACACAGAACAGATAAAAGCAGTACTGTTCAGGTGAATGGGGCGGCAGCCTGGGATCCCTCGAGCCCCTCCTGCCCACCCACCAGGGTGGCAAATTCCAGTGTTTCCAGGGCAAGCTTGCTATATCAGTGAGTGGCAGGACCGGTGGGGACTGCACTGAGTGTTGGGGAGCACATGCCCTGCCTGAGGGACCCCCCACACACAAGTGCAGACCCGGAGTTTCCACAGATTTCCCTTTCCAGGCAAGGGATCAGCCCACATTTTTACCAATTTTCACAAGTTACTAATTCCAATTGTTTGGTTTTGGTTTTGGTTTAAAAAGCAAAAACACTGGCCACCAAAACCTGTCTGTGGTCCCTAGGTCAGTTTTCTCCTGCACTGGGCCAGGCTTTTACACTCCTGGTGCAGAAGGCTGTGCTCAAGAGTGGGCACTCCCACACACGCTGCTGGTGGTGCTAGTGAGGCCCAGGCCTCCTGCTCTTGTGACCAGTCAGCTTCCTGGGGCAGCTCCCTTGACTTTCAAGGCCCTGTGTAGCCTCTCCTAGTGGCCATCCTGGCCTCCTCGCCACATCATTTGTCATCATCATTCTAGCCACGGCCCATTCACCCTTTCCAGGAAGTCTGAGTCCCCTCAACTGCCACTTCCTTGGGGAAGAGAGGAAGGGGCTCCTGGAAACCTTAGCCCAAGGCAAGCCCACCAATTCTGGGGCATCGCTCTACGAAGCTATAGCTTCCCATTACCTGGCATGGAGGTGTCAACAAAATTCACTCAAGCAGGGTCTCGAAGCAGCTTAGGGAAAGGGGGCAGCTTGTGAGTCCAGATCTTGTTTCCCTTTCCCTCCACAGCCTGACCATTTCGTGCAGGACCCTGCAATGCTGAGGGAGAAGGCAGAAGCCAGACGTATGACTTTCCTCGCCAGGAAGGGGTGAGCATTCAAGAGACTGTTTCTTTCTTTTCTTTTCTTTTTTTTTTGAGTTGGAATCTTACTCCATTGCCCAGGTTGGAGTGCTGTAGCACACTCACAGCCATCCCAGCGTCTGCCTCAGCCTTCTAAGTAGCCAGAACTATAGGCATGTGCTCTCACGCCCAGCTAATTTTTTGATTTATTGTAGAGATGAGATCTTGCCAAGTTGCCCAGGCTGTTCTCAAACCCATGGTCTCAGGCAATCCCCTTACCTCGGCCTCCCAAAGTGCTGGGATTACAGGCTTGAGCCACTGTGCCTGGCCAAGAGGCTGTTTCTGATGGGAGGGGACCCATCTGGGAAAGGTCCAGCCAACCACCCAGGAAACCCACACAGAAACCCAAGCACTTCATGTGTATGAGTTTAGCTCTTACGACAGACGTATGAACCATTATCACTATCCTCTTTTCACAGATGAAGAAATTCAGCCCCAGAAACATTAAGTTACCTGCCAAAGGTCATACAGCTAGTAGGTGGTGGAACAAAGACTGAGCCCAGATAGCTCAGGGTCCACCCCCGAAACCATTATTTAATGAACACTGCAAGGGCTTTATCACCCAGTGTGGGAGACCAGTGTGTCCAGGGCTAACCGGTGTCAGGCACAGTGTCAAATGTGAGAGAGCCCAGACAGACAGACACATCGTTTATGACTGAGAGAGGCATGATAGGTAGGGACAGGGGCACTTGAGCTGGGCCCCTAAGGGTGTCATATGAGGGCAGAATGGCAAGAAAGTGCAGGCGCAGTCAGGACAAAGGAGTTAGGAACAGGTAGCCAGAGATTCCTCTAATCCAGCCCCCTCATCCAGCAAGGAGATAGTCCAGAGGGCCAAGGGTCAGCATCCACTTAAGGCCATGCCAGGGGTAGAAGCCCATTCCCCCATGCTGACCCTGACTCATCCAGCACTGCCTATGAGTAGGGGGCTTTGCCATAAGAAAAGTCATTTGGATTTCATTCTGAGGGCACGGGGGAGTCCTAGAAGGTTACTGAGCAGGAATCATAGCAGCTCTGATTTCTCATGCATCCCAGCCCTCTGAGTGCAGAGTTCTGGGAAAATCCCAGTGGTTGAGATAGTCTAAAAAGTCTTAGGTCACAACTGTGAGTGCACTGAGTCTTTGGAGACTGCCAGGCAAGGCTCTAGGGTGTAGAATAGGAGTTGTGTGGAAGGCTGAGGCGGAAGGATCACCGGAGCCCAGCAGGTCGAGGCTGCGGTGGCCGGGAGCGGCCGCTGCACTCCAGTCTGGGCGACAGAGTAAGACTCCAACTCAAAAAAAAAAAAAAAAAAGGAGTTGTGGCTCATCTGTAGCATGTAGCCTGGGATGGAGAAGGGAGAATACCCACCCCAAACCCTCCTCACCTCCTCCTTGTGGGCTGCAGTCAGTCTACTAGCTGTTCGTCCCCCACAGTGTAGCAACTGGCTTAGCCGGAGGCAGGGCTCAGAGAAGAAAAAATGCCAAGCTGGCCTGGCCAGAGCCCTAAGCCCTGCCCCTACCAGGCTTCATTTCTCCTACCATCCAAAGCTAGGACATGGTCGACCTGGCCCAAGCTTTGTGTTCTCTCCCAATGACCACCGAGGTAAGCTGCGGGCTTTTCACATCAGAGCCTCTTCTGGTTGGTGGGTACTCCTGGAATGGGTTGTTGCTCCTCAGGTACCGGCATGACAGCTCAACAACAGTGGCTGGCAGCCCCCGGGGCCATGGGCAGAGCCGAGAGACAACACAGGAGCGCAGGAAGAAGGAAGCCAACAAGGCGGTACGAGCCAACCACAACCGGAGAACCATGGCTGACCGCAAGAGAAGCAAAGGCATGATCCCATCTTGAGGCCGCTGTGCCAGGGCCGGCAGGGAGGCAGTGACGCCAGGCCTGCTTCCCATAGTCTGGGGCCTTCTCACCAGTTGGCCCTCTACGGGGCCCCAAGTTCAACTCGACCCCTCAACAGCCTCAGCTTTGCAGCCCCTGAGAAGGCCGCCTCGTCATCTACCAGCCATGAGCACCTTCTACAGAACACACAGTGCCTTATCCCACAGCAGAAGAGTCTGTGGGGCCAGCCAGCAGGCACTTTCCCCCAGCTGCGCTGGCAGGAAAGGGACAGGACAGAACCCCGGGGCAAGTGCCCCAATCTTCATGCAGCAAGACACACCACTTCCCTTTGTCCCTGGATGGCAGGAAACCTGTATATTCAAAAACAAACAAAAAGGCCTGCGAATAAAGTTTCTGACCCTTTCAAGCAATGATCCATGATGTACCCGTGACCCACTCCCCCTGTCCCATTCCTCAGGGACAAGCCGCCAGCTGGAGGACAAGAGGGCAGGATGGTCACTGTGTTCTTTTCGTCAGCCTCTCATGCTCTCCTCTCAGTGTCAGCCCTGCTAAGGTGGCTCGGCCTTGCTGTGTGACCCTCAGAACATCCCCCTTCTCTGAGCTCCAGTCCCTGCCTGTGGAATGAAGGACTGGAGGCCATGAGGCCTGTGGTCCTTCCCATTCACTCTTTCAGCTTGACAGTTCCACCTGAGAGGTAGGGACAGTTGTCAGCTCCACAGTGAGGAAAATAGGGCTCTGGGGGCTGAAAACCCCTGCCCAGGCCACAGCTAGGAAGTAGAGAACAGGGAGTGGACACTTGGTCTGACCCTGGCCTTTAAAGGGTTCTACACCCCTGTAGGTGGTGTCCTCTCCATCTCACATCTGACCCAAGGACATCTAGCCAGTGGCAGAGCTGGTACCAGAGGTCAGTGCCTCATGGTTGCACATATACTCTATTAAAGCCCCCAAAATCAAGAGATGGAAACCTTAGAAGACAAGTGAGGATGTCACTGCCCAGTCCTGTTGAAGCAAGTGAGACTTGGGCCTGGTTCCTCCTAGGCATGGCCAACTAGCTCCTAGAGCAGCAACAGCTGCCAGGGCCCCCCATTCCTGGGCCCTCCAGAGCCAGAGTGTTGCCAGTCAATGGTGGGTCTACAGTAGGGTGTTGGCTGGGCTGACCCTAGCCCTGCCTGGCCTGGAGTCCATCAGTGGAAGCCAGGGCCCATGCCTGGCTGGACCTTGACAAATCATCCTGGGTACTCATGCAATTTATTTGCACGTGCTTAGGGTGAGAGTCTGAAGTGGAGGCAGATAGGGAATTGACGAATTGGTTTTGTTAGGTCAGCCTGCACAAGTGAAAATCAATAGCAATCCCTCTGTGTTTCACCAACTCTCCCTATGTTTGAGATGCAGAGCAGATAAGGGAGCGGCATCCTCCTCTCTTGCTGCCAAATTGACTGAGCTCAGGCCCGGGTTAGCGGAGTCTTGACAGGCAACAGGAAGACTCTGTTTCCTTCTGACCAAGCTCGCTGGCAGAGGCCGTTTCTTTCCTCCCTTCCTGAGCTCTGGCGAGGTGGGTCAGGGTGTTCTTGGCTTTACCAGCCTTGCTTGTCACTGTCCACACAGTCCCCCTCCCCTTCACTTGGTCATCTATACCTCCTGACACCTGAATGGTGTTCAGGCCTCACGGGAACATCCTGGCTTAAAGGCTTTGAGAAGACAGAGGCAATTTTTCAAGTTTTTCAGAGTGTAGTGCCAGGTCAGACTTAGTCTCTCCCTTGAGGAGATGCTGTTTTCTCATTCAGATCTTGAGGCACCCTTTCAGGGTGAAAACAACTCAGGGCCGTCCAGAATGGTGCTCGCAGGCACACCCCTCTGCCTCTCGGGGGGGCCCCCATTTTCCCATCTGTAAAGTGAGCCCACTGGACCAGATGAAATCTTGCCACTTGGTGCCCATTATTGCCTCTGAGGAGACTCCAGGGTTTCAGATTGGTAGCTGTGGAGGAGTTGGAAGTAAAGGGGAGTGGGAGCCCACTCTGCTTGCTCGGTTGCGGGATCCTCCCGCACGTGCTGCTTTTCCATGAGTATTTTCTAAGTGCCTTCTCTGGACCCTGGCAGACCCTGGACGACTGTCACAAACCTTTCCCAGGAAACGTTGAAGACTTTGTGTCTTTGTTCTGGTCACGGGGGGCCATACTGGTGGGCGTGTGTGTTCAAACAGGGCTCCTGTTCCTCTGTGAAGTGATGGGGCAGAGCCTCTCATTGCTTGTTAAAAGGGACCCCAGAGCCCATGGGGGCAGGGGCAAGTTGGCAGCAGAGCCTGGACGTGGGTCCTTTCCAAGTCACCCCTTAACAAGTCGGGTGCAGTCTGGACGAGTGAATGATTGGAGAACCTGCAAGTCCCTGCCACACCAGGGGCTCCGGTGAGATAATCCATGGAGGAAAACAAAAACAAATAGAGGTCAACACACAGGAAATGCAGGGAATGTGATGTTGCTCTTTAAAATGCTATTGACAAAGACCTGGTAGCAACACGGAAAGTACATGTGTAAGAATATATATATATTTTTTAAAGTTTAAAAAGCAGAATGCCTGACGGTGTGATGCACCATAATTGTGGAAATGTGAACAAAAACTGTTTTGCATACAGACCAAGTCCGGAAGGGAATGTGCTGAAGGGAAATAATAGTGAGCACGTGCACGATGATGGTCATGACACCATGGTGACTTGTAACAAGAATAAAAGCACTTATGAGCATTTACCATGGTCAGAGTTTCTACTGGGCTCTTTCCTTACATTCTCTTGTTTAATCTTCACAAGGCAGATAGAGAAAACTGAGGTCCAGAGAGGTTAGGTGACCTGTCTGAGATCACACAGCAAGTGACCAAGGGAGGAGTCAGTCCCAGAACTCTCCTAAAACCTGGTCCTTAACCCCTGTGCACACTACCGTCTACTCCTGTTCTTCATTCCTTCCATTCCCCGTGTCCTTGTCACTATCCTTACAATGAAAGGAGAAAATGTGAGCGGGGACCCAAAAAAGCCAAAATTATCTTTTGGAGGGTAGCCTCTTGTAGTGCAGGCTTTCCCCACTAGGTAAGTGTTCTAGGAACCCATGAGCGTCAGTGTACCAGCTAGTGTTAGAGGCTGTGTTAAGCTTCAGTGATTTTTTTTTTTTTTTGAGATTCTTTCAGTGCATTTGCTTATTTCATGATGGGTGATTTACGAGTGCACTTGCCCACCCCAAGCTGAATATTCAGCAGTTTGTTTGTTTGTTTTTTACGAAAAATGGCATAACCCCTATTCCTTACCCTTCCTCACCTAAAAACATCCTCAAAGGGAAACATTTTGCCAATGTGGAAGAGGTGAAACAAAAATGGCGGAAGCACTAAAAGGCATCAAAATCGAAGAGTTCAAAAACTGTTTTGAGTTGTGGAAACAATGTCTCAATAAGTGTATTGCATCAAGCAGAGAGGACTTTGAAGGTGACTGAAGTTTAAACACGTAAAAACAATTTTTTATAATCCCGGGTCTTTTGGGTCGCCCATCGTACAAGTAAAACAGCTATAGCACAGGAGAAAGGGAAACCCACTTCGTCAGCCAGGCCTGTGGGACGCCAGTGATTAGACCATTTCATAGTGTCCCACAGATCTCAGTTGCTCTGTCCTATTTTTTCCACTTTTTTCTGTTTTCACTTTCACGTATCCTTTCCTCTGAGTGTCCAGTCTGCTGGGAGCCCATTGAAGAGTTTTTCATGTCTGTGTTGAGTCCCTCTCCAGGGGAAGTGGAGAAGGTTGGGGCATTTGCGGCTAAGATGGCGACAGCTGACCTGGGGAGCACTGAGGCCTAGGAGGGAACAAAGGGCAGAAGAGAGCGTGAGCCCCAGAGTGAGGGCCCGAGAGCAGGCCAGGCTGTGATCTAGTCACGGTCCAGAGCAGCTACTGTCAGTGTTTGCTGCCTGTTCTCAGGGCTCAGGGACCGGTCGTCAGCCTGGTTGCGTGGAAGAAAAAGTACATCTATTCGGCACAGCTCTACTAGGTGCCAGGCATGTGTGAGAGCAACCTGGCCTCTGTCCTCCTGGAGTTGACAGTGCAAGCAGCATATAGATATTATATCGGGGGAAAAAAAACATTTTGGAAAAATGGTTAGTAATAGCTGTGCTAAATCCTAATAAATGAATGAAGAAATGAGTTGGAAGGAAAACAGGCGAAATTAACAGAAAGAGGCGGAGAACAGAGACTTCCTGGAAGCAGAGGGTGGCCACAGTGTCAGGCCGCAGCCGAGACAGAGGTCACCCAGGCAGAGGCTGTGGGGCTCGCTGGAGCTCTGCCGGGAAGCATGGAGAGACAGCCGACTGGAAGAAGGAAAAATGAGGGAGAGGAGAAGGCAGGAGAGTGGGTCCTTCTTGGAAGCTGGCATTGAAGAGGAGGAAGAGGAGGCTCAGAGGTGAGGAGGGGGTGTTGGAATCCAGACCATGTTTAAGGAATACCTAGAAAGAGCCAGGGAGGGGCCAGAGCTCCAGGGACCCCAGATCCACCTGGCATCTGTCTCCTCTCCACCTCTGGGCGTGGCGCGGCGGTGACCAGAGACTGTTGTTGCAATTCTGCAGTCTGACCCAGGGTTAAAAATTCCTTCTGTCTGAAGGCCACCATCTACAGCCCTGTGTGAGTGTGCAGTGGGGGTGGGGGAGTCCTTAAAACAAGCACGTAGTTCCGACTTGACAGCGCACTGAAAACTCTCTTCCAACAATCAATAACAAACGAGAATTTTACACAGACTGCAGAACTCAGAGGACCTTAAAGGGCATTTGGTCGAGATTTTCTCAACCTGGTGAAATCCCTAGCCAGCCCCAAGCTTAGGCTCTGGAATTTCAGGTCTCCCCTTCTCTCCTATGGATGGGGAGCTTTGTCCTGCTTAATAACCTGGGCTTCTGTGGGTCTCTCTCTGCTATGGAGTTTCCTCTAGCTTTACTTGCTGGGGTCTGAATTACAAAAATAATGGGCACTAAAGTCTAGTTTTCCAAACATGAAATCATGACACTGACTATGCTTTACCTAGCAGCCCGCCCCCAGCACTCTGATATGTCTCTTAAGTGTTCTGCTATCCCAAGGACGTAATTATGATTTTTTCCTCCTTAAAGTGATTTTCCCAGAAGAGTCAGGCAGAAGCAGAGCCCCCAGTGGGACGAGCACAAATTACTGCTGTAAATTTAGGCATTTTCTTTTTTTTTTTTTTTGAGTTGGAGTCTCACTTTGTCACCCAGAGTGGAGTG